ACATGTCAAGAACAAACTGCATAACTCATGCACAATTTAAAGCAAGAGTTCCACATGTAGAAACAGCTCACACATGTTACCACAGTGGGAATACATTCAAGTTAAAGATACAGAATCACACAATTAACTTTTACACTGTTCATTTTTAACACTGCAGCAGAGTCCTGAAAAAGAACTGCATCATATTTATGTTTCTTCTTCCTTCTACAGTGGTGTCTCGCTTGACGAGGATAATTTGTTCCTTTCAAATCACTGTTAAGCAAAATCCTCATCAAGCGAAATTTTAAAAATCATTGAAATGCACTGAAAACCGGTTCAATGCGTTCCAATGGGCGAAATACCTGCTCGTTTTGCGAAGATCCTCCATAGGACGGCCATTTTCCGGTGCCTGTAATGCGAGGAATCCATCCTAAAGCACAGCGAGGAGCCATTTTGCACAGCAGGCGGCCATTTTAGAGTCATCGATCAGCTGTTTTAAAATCATCGTCTAGCGAAAAATCGGTTCCCGAAGCACGGAAATGATCATCATGAAGTGAATTTTACCCATAGGAAGATCATTTGCGATCGCAAAAACTTCATCATCAAGCAGTTTTGTCATTTAACGAGGTAATCGTTAAGCGAGGCACCACTGTACTTTGTCATAACCTAAGCATCACCATCATAATCTAGATAAACTACTTAACAGCCACTTCTCTTAAAAGCTTGGAATTTAACTGGTTTAGAGAGATGGAGAAGTAAAAAGGGGAACCAAAATAAAAATATTTACACAAACTATTTGAAAGTAGGTTCTCTGTTGCAAATTGAAGTTAAAAGGTGGGTTCTGAGTTGTGAAAGGCTGAACAATGTTAACTTAATGCATTATATTCTTCTTATGCCTATACAAAATGTTCATTTGAGCATCTTGGTGTTCTATAAACCTTTAATCTGTTCAAAACAAGAAGAATTACTCAAACTTTCTCAGAATTCGTATGCCTTGTTTACAAGTGTTTAACTTTATTTGTCTGGACCTCAACTAATTCTTTATTAATGACAGCTGACAAACAGGCCTTTAATTCAGGTCAATAAACTGAGATCATGAATAATGCTTTCCATTATTTCCAAATATATTATCAGTGGACCACAACACCACGCTTACATAAAAAGTAAAGCAATAATATGAAATGGAGATGAGTAGAGAAAACCTTCACAGGATATTACAAACCTCTAGAATCTATGAGACAGTAAAACAGATAAGGCATGTATAAAAATGATGAAACTCTAGAGATACAATCATAGATATAGATGAAATATCTAAAATTAGCATTTAATCATTTTACTTTTACACTGTTCAAAAAAAAGGAAATGAAACTTAATAACAATATTTCACACCCTAATTCAGACACATTTATTACTGGTAGGTATCCAATAGTCAAAGTGATAAATATATTTATTATGCCTATAATTTAAAGCAATACAGTATCACCACGCTTTTTTAGACTTAAGTTATTTTACATGTTTTTTTTTTTACATATGACGTTGGGTTACTGTGATACCGGGTGGGGGGGAGGGACACAAGCATCCCTGTCAGCATGCTGTTCTCTCTTAGGCCAGAGGCTAACAGATATGAAACATCAAGTTCACACATATAACTTAACTTAGGAGATATGTTTGGAATCCCGGCCCAAAACAGTCCTGAAACTGCAGAAAACCAGGGAATAGAGAAATCAAAAACCCTTGGTGACTGGGAGGTTACGAAAAACCTAGAAAAAGAACAGCAAGGGGAGAGGAAGGAACTATGAGAGAACGAAGGGATAAAAGAACAAGATTAAAAGGGAGCAGAAGAGAAGTCATAGGAGAAGGAGTTGGAGAAAGTAAAGAGAGAAGGATCCACCAATGAGATACTATCAGAAGGTTGGGACTGAAATGTTGGGACTGAATAGAAAAGGAGAATCCATGGACAAGGAAGACAAAGAAGTGTAAGGTACCTTGGGAAGAAGCCAAGGGGCAACAAAGAGATCAACCCCCCCCCTGTAAACCTGAGGAAAGAGGGAGGAAAGGGAAAGAAGGTGCACAGTAAAAAAAAAGGGCAGCTGCTCTAAAAAGTGGAACCCAAAGAGAATGGAGAGCATCCCAAGAGGAAACCTGTTGGAGTCACAAAATGAGAAGGCTGATGGGCTTTGTGATGATCACCAGATAATTAGGATAGCAAATAGTCTCTTAGAGATAGAAGTTAAGAAAGTAAGCCACACACACAGGGATGTCTGCCAGCAGTGCTCCTGGTGGGCGACTAGTAGAAGAGGCAGAATAACATTGAATGGGTTTCCAATGAATTCTGCCCTGCCCCCAGGAGGATTGTGCTCTTATTAACCTTACAAGCTCACAGATAGTGGACAGCATATAGATAGGTTACAGAGTTCAGATAGGACAATGGTTACACATCATGCTATTATAATTGGCCTAAGGAAAGGCTCTATACAGGCTCTCTAGCACCTATGGGAAAGAAGAAGAATGGTGGGCAGTCATGCTCCTCAGAAGCAGCTGTGATGTCATCCAGGAGGGTTTGCCCTCTACTGTAGATTAAGCCAACAACTTAGCAACCTTGGGAATGGCACCCCCACAGAAACCAGAAGGGTCTTACGTTAGAGGAGAAGGTGGAACATTATGGAGGTCTGGACCCATCAACCCTGTTGCCACAACCAATATTCCATACCTCATCACTAATGATGCATTTGAATCTACAAGGGATACCTTGGAAAGACCCAAGGAATAGGAAGAAATTATGGGGACAAGTTAACCAGAGTTATTTTAATGATGAGTTGTAACAAACATTAAAAGGAAGAAGAACGGGAACCTAATGAGGTTATTGTTGACCAATTGCCTGCTCAGTTTAATAAAAGTTAAACTGAATGAAGAATTGTCTCTGTGTGTCAGTCTGGAATTGGGGGTGGCCTCAAAGGGGATCAAACAGCATACATGTATAAGTGAGTTCTAACTAGTGAAGGGAGTTGACAAATGTATTCCTTGTCCTGTCTGTTAGGTGACATGGTGCACAATGAAGAATACAAGTGTGGACTCCTCAACTAGTAGCAATCTGCTACTGAGATTTACAGTGCATAATTTAAGCTGACATATGTAAAGAACATAAAAGGATTCTGAGCAACATTTTCTTAGTATCTTTATCAGCGTTCCCCAACCTTTTTTGGATTGTGGACCGCCTGGGGAAGGCGGGGGCACCCCCTGTGCTTGCGCGCATGCACGAACAAGTGCACGGCGCTCTCGCACAGGCAGGTGCACGCGCTGGCGCAAATGGGCAGCACGGAAGTGAGTGCGTGGGGGTCAGGCGTTGGGAGGTCTCTCTTGGCGGCCCAGTCTGGCCCAGGCCACGGACCTGTACCAGGCCATGGACTGGGTGTTGGGGATCTCTGTTAGATTCTTCCCTACAACTAACTCCAGAAATCTGGAAAACCCTGGTGTATTATTCACAAGCAGAATGGTGGTACATGCCATGCAATCACTCCATGCATCTCCTGATCCCTAAAAAAGCAAGTACGTTTTTTTGCTTCCTAATATGTGTTTCACTAGTTCCAGAAGGTCAGCATTGCTACCACACTCCACATACATAAGTACCATGATAGGACAAAAATCTGTTCAAAGTGGATTAAAACTTTCAATATGATAAAACAGGAATGGTGAGGAGATAAATAGTTGGACTTTGAACTGGGAGACTTAATTTTAAGCTTAGACACTGCAAAGTCATTGTGGCCTTAAGCTATTAGTTGTAAGGAGGATAAGAATCACAGGATGACTCCCTGCGTCAACTTTCCCTTTTACTAAGTTTCTCCAAGGATCAGCAGTGACTCTTTGAAGACTTCTAAGTTCATACAAGCATAAAATGGTCTGAGGATACTAGGCACACAATTCTATAACTAGTGAAAATCTTTAAGGGAAGACAAATCTTCAAGGGCTACTCTCAAGGGAACAGCGGTGCTTCATTAACAGGAGAACAATATTTTATAACAAATTTAACCCATTTCTTGTTGACCCTGTCTTTCATTTGTTTATTTTCTACTTTTCCAGTTCTTTTTGTTCTGACGTATGCTCTCTCTCTCCTTACTGTTCCTTTTGTAGGAGAAATGTTGTACAACTTTAACCAGACAAACTTTAACTTCCTACTAATGTAACCATTTGGTTAACTTTATATGATTGTCTTACCAAGCCCTTAATTCTATTTAAATCAAAAGTATGACCTGCAATCATGTAATACACCTACAGAACAAATAAAAGAACAAATAAACATAATACTTCAGTGAACATAATACATCATAATGATTATATATTGTTATGATAGGAAGGAGAGCTTCCACATAAGTTAGTTCTACACAAGTTTATTACAGAAACTAATCATGAAATACTTCAAAAATGTTGAGCTCAGCTATAACCAAGCAAGTTTTTTTTAAAAAAAAAAGAGTGGGTAAGAGGAACTTCTAAGGAGTTCCTTTCACACCGCCTTATAAATTGCTAAGTAAGCTATCAAAAAGAATTAAAGGTAAGTGGTGTTCTTCCTGTCCTTGAACCAACTTCAAAGCCTAGAGTTTCCCTGCTAAAGTAGAGGAGCCAGAATACTCTTACACCCCTAGAAACTTACAAAATTCTACTTGGTATAGGTGTAGAACCCATACATGTGGCAACGCAGAGACTAAGGATAAGGATAATAGAATATAGACAAAATGCATATAACTAGAAGGACTTGCAGATGATGACAATGATTTTATAGCACCCATGTCATATCAGAAACCATTTAAAAATCCCATTTACTTTAAGTGATTTATATTTTGGCATTTATGTACACCATTTGATAAAGCTAAGACCAAATCTCTTATAAACTGGTTTTGTTAAAAAAAAACCAAGCACCCATGCAACTTAAAGAGCTACTATACATTTGACATTATGTAAATAACATAAACGCAAGTTATGTTGCTTAGCACATGTAAGGGAACTATGAATAAAATAACAATACTCACCCTAAAATTCGGTTCATGCCATGCCGAGCAGCATAATGTAATGGAGTGTTATGCTGATAAGGCTCTCCATAGGAAATATTAGGATCCAGAGATTCTTTTAGTTGAGGGTTGCTCTCATAAATCTGACAGGCCAAATTTTCATCTCCATTTATAAGTGCTTTGCGGAACTTCGTAGTAGTGTTTCCCATACTGTTATTAATGAGGTTGGGTTTCTTTCGTGTCCCTTTAATCACTTGGTATGCAGGTCAGTAACATGGTTTGCAATCTGAAAGTAACAAAGAGTTTCAAACTGTTTTGACAACTTCCATTGGGGAGTTAATCCAGCACTGATAAAATGGAATTCTTCAAGCAAATCAAAATTTAAAATGAACTGCCTTAATATGAAGAGAGAAACTGTACATAGTTTAACTTCTACTCTGTTAAACTATAACATCTTTACTATATAAACATGGTAAAACATTATTTGTAAACACACACTTTGGACTTTGCACTTCAAGTAATAGAACAAGCATAAGAGAAATACTTCCTTCAACCTCTTCCTCCAATATGCAACACACATCCAAAATTACAGCATTTTAATGGTAAACTAAAAGAGATTAGAATTGAAGGTAAAAGATAACCTGGGGATGGGAAAACTTATTAAGCCAAATCAATTAAACTGCAGTGTAGTTTCAACAAACGTCTATTTCATTTCTTACCAGTTGAGTGATACCATCAATTACAATCACAAGGGCAGTGTGATAGTATAAAACAGAAATCATTCTTCACCATCTGATGTCAGCATGAAGTTAAATTGACACAACTCATTAAAATGATCCATAAAATGGGTATGTATGGCCACAACATTTCTTCCTGGAATGGATTGCCTCTGTCACACCAGTCTCAGATGGTACAATATGCTTTGCAATACAGAAACCACATGGATTTCCAAAGACAAGGTTGGATCTAGTAAAATTCCCATACTCTAATACTAATCTTAAAAGGAGCATGCCCCATCCAGATTGTCCTAAATCTCACCACCCTGGTTAGGTAAACCACATACCATTTTGTTATGGGATATGAATGGGAGTTTCTTGCTCTTATCCAAACCATTACCAATTTTAAATATTTTTTCAGCACTTCCCTAGCTTCACTGGAATTACAGAAAATAGAAACAGAGAAAGAATTATCAGCAAGCTGATAGCATTGTATCCTAAAGCACCTGATGACCATTCCACTCTTCCATGTAGACTGGATACATGGCAGAAAACATAGACCTAAGGCACACATGTCAAGAGGTTTAACAACAGTCCCCCATACTATTTTCCCGAAAAGGCCATCTAGATAAAAACAGTAAGTCCTTTGAATTCTGATGGCAGCCAACAGAAAGTCAGTCAGCCCATTTACTAGTATGGAAGATGCTGGGAAATTGAAAAGATTGTGGTGCAGATAAAGCATTTAGCTCCAAATTATTTTTTTAAACTAGATTTAAGGCAGAAGTAAATGAAGACAGGAAAAAGAAGAAAAATATCTAGAGAATGGAAGACAGAAAACAGGAGTGTTTGAATACTTTGATTAGATTATGAAACATATGGCAATCACTGACAATGAACTTTGCAAAGGAAAGCAATAGACAGACAAGGATGAAGGAAGACAAAGAGAAAGGCACAAGATGAAAGTTGCTATGAACAAAAAGGACTGCTAAGAGTCTACAAGAGCACATTTATATTAAAATCTGTAAATTACAGGAACGTCTTGAGAAAACATGTTTAAACAATACCTATTCTAGTAACAGAAACACAATAACTGAAAGAGTTCATCTTCAAAGCTGTATATGAAGATTACTGTTGTGCTTCCAAAGCACAGATTTATTTTACAGCTGAAATGCTTCTAAAGTATTCTTGAAAAACCAATTACATACCTAAAACAAAGTAATAATTTGAAAGCAATTCTCCTACTATTAGTATTCTTAGAGTAATGATAAGGCAGCAACAAACCTATAAGTTAAGATATTTGGAACCTGATTTTAATTTTAACTATATACTGCTATCTGCATTAAAAAAGCATTTGCATATGGAACTAAATACAGTACAGTACAGTACATGGTTCTCTGGATGCTGGCTAAATAACCAACTTTTAATAATAATACTGAAAATTATACTTCTTGGTTATATTTGCATAAAGTTTTTAAAAACCAAGGTTTTCTCCCAAGTGCACAGTATTAGTAAAGAATAGAGAGATTAATGCTGGCTAAATAACCAACTTTTAATAATAATACTGAAAATTATACTTCTTGGTTATATTTGCATAAAGTTTTTAAAAACCAAGGTTTTCTCCCAAGTGCACAGTATTAGTAAAGAATAGAGAGATTACTCAAATTATTTTGGATGTGATCTAGTGAGCAGCTTTTCATAGTGATAAGAAGCTGCTACATACCCAGTGGATAAAGTGAAGGACTAGGACTCAGGCAGCCAGAGTTCAATTTCCCACTTAGCCATGGAAACTCACTGGGAGTGTGGAACTGGTAAAACCACTTCATAAATATCTCATTTACTTTGAAAGCCTTATTAGAGTTGCTGTAAGTTGATTCAACTTGACCGAACATAACAACAGAAGCTGCTGTTTGCTGACAAGACCTCTGTATTCCACTTCTGCAAGTTTATTAGTGACCCAAAGATCTGCAGATGCAGCAGCAGGGGTGTCTGTGGTCATGACAGTCCCAGTACTTTCCAATTTGGGAGGGAAACAACATCCAGACACCCACTATCTCTTCTTGCAATTCACCTGTTCAGCTGCAGGAAGTAATATCAGAAGGCTTGCCTCACTGAATTAGATTAAAGGCCTATCAAGTCCAGCATTCTGCTCTCCGAGAAGTTTGTCAGATATCTGTGAGAAGCCCACAGAATACATAATAGCAAGAATTCTATTTTCCAGCAAATGACAGTATTCACAGGTATGCTGATTCTGATTGTGGAGGCCACTACCAATAGCCACAAATACCCTCCAAGAATTTAACCAGTCACCTTTTAGAGCTAAACTGGTGAACATACCATAATTACAAATTTCACAGTGCAACTACACACTGTGTGAAATATTTACTTTTGTCTGAATTTCCCATAATTCAAGTTCATTAGATCACACTGGCTTCTAGTAACTCTGACAGTAAGATTGCTGAAAGGAAGATCTTGTATATTTCTATACTTCTCAACCTGTAACATGCTTCTGCCTGTTCAAAATGTTCTGCAGAGAGGCAGCAAATCAAAGCATTTAATGAGAGAAAATGTGAATAATTTTATGAAATTGGCATCATGATGATCATACTCCATATACAGGTTTATTACAGTTTAATCTTCATCAAATAGATAGCATAGGTTAATTTTCCTTTGATACTGATGCAGTTATGTAACCAGTCCATATTATGCCACAGGCCTTTCATATACAATTGTAAAAGTTAACTATAAAATATTGAATTTGTGTATGTTATGTAGCTCTGGATTTTCCTTTGGCCTATCTGTATATCAGCATCTAGATGTCCTTTCAGCTTTAATCCAGTTGCTTCATCAGCAAGTACCATTTGTACTTATTCTGTGCTCTTCTCCAGCAGATGAGTACCTTCTATTTCTTTTCTCATTTTGAATTATCCCATCAGTTTTTGAGGCACAAAATATTCAGAAGTAGTTTACTCTTCTCACTTTCTGGATGGTACTAATAAGAGCTAGCTTGAGTGTCACTGACTATGAAAGATCCTCCACCAATGTCACTTTCTATTACTGCTGTTCAGTGAATTTGTTCAGTGCTGTTCAAGAATTTGTCTGCCCCATCACTATTTCAACTATCAATTCCCTTCTGCTAAAGTCTTTGTTAATCTGTTGTCTCAGCCTTGACTATTCCATATTGGCTGGTCCCGTTATAAGTCTATCCTCCAGGTGATAGTGCTCTTAGTTTCCATGGCACATTCAAATCCCCTCATCATATTACACTGTGCATCCAAAAGGCAACAAAATACAATCATTCCAATGTGGCTAATGTGTTTCACTCACTCATGCATTTCACTCACTCATTTCACACGCTAGCAAGGTTATGCTGAAAATCCTCCAAGGTAGGCTTCAGCAGTATGTGGACCGAGAACTCTCAGAAGTACAAGCTGGATTTTGAAGGGGCAGAGGGACTAGAGACCAAATTGCTAACATGTGCTGGATTATAGAGAAATCCAGAGAGTTCCAGAAAAACATCTACTTCTGCAACATTGACTATGCAAAAGCCTTTGACTGTGTTGACCACAGCAAACTATGGCAAGTCTTTAAAGAAATGGGAGTGCCTGGTCACCTTATCTATTTCCTGAGAAACCTATACGTGGGACAGGAAGCAACAGTTAGAACTGGATATGGGACAACTTATTGGTTCAAAATTGGGAAAGGAATACAAGGCTGTATATTGTCCCCCTGCTTATTTAACTTATATGCAAGATGCATCATGTGAAATGCCGGACTGGAGGAAGATTGCCTGAAGAAATATCAACAA